CTTGTTCGGTCACCAGAGAAGGCGGAGGTGTATAAGTCCGAGATAAAGAAGCTGGAGTTGACTGGTGCTGCCGTCAAACTGCAGAATGATGGAGAAGAGGCCACTGGAGAGAAGTGGTATATCCCGCACCATATGGTCACTCACAATGAGAAGAACCGCTTAGTGTTCAACTGTTCTTTCGAGTATGAGGGGCTAAACCTTAATAACTCCTTACTACCGGGTCCAGTCTTGAGCCCTTCTCTTCTGGGTGTCCTCCTGTGGTTCAGGGAACACAGTGTGGCCATAAGTGGGGATATACGTGGGATGTTCCATCAGGTCCTGCTACTGCCTGAGGATAGACCACTCCTACGTTTTTTATGGCATGACCTGCGTCGGGATGACCCTCCAGATACCTATGAGTGGCAAGTACTTCCCTTTGGGACTACGTGCAGCCCGTCGGGAGATTTACATTTTCACTGATGCCTCTGAGAAGGCATATGGGGCTGTGGCTTATCTGCGTTCAGAAGGTCGTCAGGGGGAACTCCATCTTGCCTTTCTTCTAGCCCGGTCTAAAGTGGCCCCACGAAAGCGTCAGTCAATACAGAGGCTCGAGCTCTGTGCCGCCTTGATGGGTGCGCAGTTGGCGAAGTTGCTTACTACTGAGCTCACTCTAAAGTGGGACACGGTCACCTATTGGACTGACTCTACTATTGTCCTCCACTGGCTCCTTTCTGAGTCCTGTAGGTACAAAGTCTTCGTGGGCACCCGGGTAGCGGAGATTCAGGAGTTGACTGACCGGACAGAATGGCGATACATAAATTCTGAAGGAAACCCTGCTGATGACCTGACTCGGGGCAAGAGACTGCAAGACTTTATCGGCCCCAACAGATGGCTTCAAGGTCCGAAGTTCCTACTGCAACCACAGGAGAAGTGGCCCTCTCAGCTCACCTCACTCTTTCCGAACTCTGAAGATGCGGCTGAACTTAAAGGAGGAATCTTCTGTGGGATCACTAACGCTGTGCTGTTGACCAATGAAAGGAAATACAACCACTGGAAGGATTTGGTGGACACAGTTGCACAAGAGCTGCATGGGGCGGCCGCCCAGGATAAAACTCCTTCAGCAGATACCTACAGAGATGCAGAGACTGTTGCCCTGAGAAAGATACAGTTAGAGAGTTTCCCTGAGGATTTCCAGCTGCTGAAATCCAACAAGCCAGTTCGCTCCAACAGTCGGTTACTATGTCTCTCTCCTGCATTTGACTCTGAAAACCAACTCATCAGAGTCGGAGGACGACTGAGGAGAGTGGAAGCCCTTGACCCAGCTACCGTGCACCCTATTGTACTTGACTCTCATCATCCTTACACTCAGCTACTGATCAAGGACTATGACACTCGACTTCACCATCCAGGACCTGTGCGAGTGTTTGCTGAGCTCCGCAGGCGAGTGTGGATTCTGAGAGGCAGGGAGGCAATTAAGAAGCACCAAATAGCATGTCTCGACTGTTGTAAGTGGAGGTCAAAGCCAGCAACACAGCAGATGGCTGATCTCCCTCCTCCAAGGCTCAGGTTGTTTAAGCCGGCATTTTACTCCGTAGGAATTGACTGTTTTGGGCCACTGGTAGTGACATTGGGACGACGGGTAGAGAAGAGATGGGGCCTCCTATTCAAGTGTCTCACCACCCGTGTGGTGCACATAGAAGTGCTGGCCTCGATGAGCAGTGATGCCTTTCTGATGGCACTGAGAAGGTTCATTGGTCGACGTGGCCAGCCTGCAGAACTGTACTGTGACCAGGGCACCAACTTCCGAGGTGGAGAGAGAACTCCGGGAATATTTCAACCAATTCAGTCCAGACTTACAACAGCTGCTAGCCAAACAAAGGATCAGTTTCCACTTCAATCCTCCGGCCTCTCCGCACTTTGGAGGTGTGTGGGAGAGGGAGATCCGGTCTGTAAAGGCTGCCCTTCGTGTAACCCTAGGTTCAGAAACAGTGTCGGAAGAAGTGCTTCAGACGGTTTTGATTGAGATTGAAGCCATCTTAAATTCTAAGCCTTTGGGATATGTTTCGGCAGATCTGGCTGATCTGGACCCGGTTACTCCAAATTGCCTGCTGATGGGGCGGCCAGATGGTTCTTTACCCCAGGTGGTGTATCCGGAGTCTGAACTCCTCACAAAGCGGAGATGGAGACACTCCCAGGTATTAGCTGACAGATTCTGGTGTGCATTTATTAGGCACTATCTACCAGCGATGCAGACGAGAGGAAAGTGGCAAAGACCATCACCTAACATCGAGCCTGGCACTGTAGTCATGTTGGTTGACCCCCAACTACCTCGGTCCCTATGGAAGATTGGAAAAATTCTGAAAGTCTTTCCAGGAGTCGATGGCCGTGTCAGAAAAGCGGAGATACAGATAAAAGACAGAACGTATACTCGGCCTATAGCTCGTCTAATAGTTCTTCCTGAAATCCTTGAAGAGGATGAGCATCTAGGAAGCGAAGACAACCAACAGAAGCCCTGAATTGATTTCCAACGGAGCAAATTTCCAAATAAATTTGGGGGCGGCAATGTTGGAAAGGCGGGGTTTAGTGTACCTGTCAATCATCGCCCTGACGGAGCCGAATGAAGCGCAAGAGAGAGAGACTTGCACGGGACCGGGAGAAAGAACCGTTATTTGTGTGTTATAGTGTGCGTCTATCCCTGATTGTGAGTACCCGTTTTGATCAGCAGACAACCCTTGTTAATCATATAATTTATTCCTATGACAATCTGGTATTTGGCCGTTAGTTAGTCAGAATGAACACTGTGAGTAGAATTAAGTTCGCGCGCTCGGTGCATTCGCGAGCTGTATTCACAATATAATACCGCAATTGAGGATGTGTTCAGCCTTCTCCATACCTGTTTATTTATGTTACTATGTTATTATGCTTAATTCTTTGTTAGGTTCATATGAAAGTACTGTATAGTGCGCTGTGTGATATTCATATGGACACTTTCGGTTTCAACGTGCCAAATATGTTTACTTAATGACAGCGCCATACAATTGCATTGTAAAGTTAGAAAGTTGAGTTATGTATATTATAGCGTTATAGTGTAATGCAATTTGATGTATAGTGTGATTATGTGGATATAACAGTCAAGTCATGTTATACTGATTATTTCTTTATTTATGTTTTATTGTAGAACCACACACATACCACACACAGACAAACGTTCAATAAACCCCTTTGATTGAATCAGACTGTCCTGATACATCCCTGTGTTTTGATCGACACACCAAGAGGAAGGCTAGATAAATTAGAACCACCTATGAATACAATCCTGGTTTAACTACTTAACAATTACAGTCGACCTTGTTTAAACACCTTGAGTACCTTGAGTATTTGTGGGGTATAAAGTACAAAATCTTGCTACCTAAGGGCAAAGAGGAAAAAAACAAAAAGGGAAGTATGACAATGTTGTTAACTATCAGAATAACCTAGAGAGAGAGAGTCAGAGAGTGGGGCAGGAGACACAGGAGTACAGGCGCAGTGGCGGGTTTGGGCCACCAGAGGGTTCTCTGTGGTCAGCCTGGTAGAAAAGACAAACTTAATTCAAATTGCAATTCAAAGGTTTTAAATTAAATTCAAATAAGCGTGTGCAGAGATGTTACGTAATCCCTAAGGGTACGGTGGCCCAGTAGTGCACAACACAACGAAATTCAAAAAGCAAACATAAGTTCACAACACAACGGAAACAAGCCACAACACAACGAAATATCCACAACACAACGAAATAGCCACAACACAACGGAAATGCTCCCGACCACCAGGGGGCAGTGCCGGCACTGAAAATAGATTTCCTCAAGCGTCGAATCAGGACTTGATCGGGACACACGTCTGTGTAAGTTATCTTAATATGTCTATTTGATTTTTAAATGAACATATACTTTATCAGAACGTTTTAATATCCTGATAATCTTAAATTATCGATTCATGAACCGAGTATATAACGTTACGTTAGATAAACTCATTTTTAGTTAACTTTTTAGCTCTGTTTTTGTGTCGTGAACACTTGATTAACGTTAGCTGAACTGTTATCATTTCTACTATTGTCCTAGGCTGGGATGTTTTGTCCATTTTGTGGAAACGATCTGAGAACGGTTACAGCCTTTTGCAGCTCGTGTGGCTCTAATCTCCAGTTTTTGTCAAATGAAGTTGAACGTGGTATGTAAGTTATGCGTTTAGTCTGCCTTAAAACCTTAAGTTACTGTTATTTGAGCACAATGTTTAAGTTTATTAACTAAATTCTGAGTCAGATGTTTCTACCAAGTTAAAGTTGTTACTTAATAATACCCTTATTATTATTATATTTGTTTATGGTTAGAGTCATCAGTCCCTGTTTGTGAGGATGATCTTCTTCGAAAGTACTTCAGAGATGGACACACTTACAGTGTCATATTGGATTTCTTGGAATTGAAGCACAACATTAAAATGAGCCTTCGTACCCTGAAAAAAAAATTGAACAGACTGTCTTTGTACAAACGAAGAAACTACTCGCCTTTGGACACTGTCCGGACAGCTATTGTTGGCGAGTTGAATGGTTCTGGACAGCATTATGGTTACCGCACAATGTGCCAGACCCTGCGTCAAAAACACAATCTTACAGTGAGAAGGCAAGATGTAATGCTTATGCTAAAAGACCTTGATCCATTAGGCATTGAACAACGCTCAAGAAGAAGATTTGTGAGAAGAGTTTATCATTCTTTGGGGCCAAATCATGCCTGGCACATTGATGGCTATGACAAATTAAAACCATATGGTTTAGCTATAAGTGGCTGCATTGATGGTTACTCACGCAAAGTAATGTGGTTAAACTGTAGCAATAACAACCCAGACATTATAGCTGCTTATTACCTACAGTGTGCTACACAATTTGGAGTCATACCAAAGCTTCTTCGCACAGACTGCGGCACTGAAAATGGAACTATGGCTGCAATCCACTGTTCTCTGAGATCAGTCCACACAGATGACCTTGCAGGGGCTTCGCCATATGTATGGCTCATCAACCACAAACCAACGAATTGAAAGCTGGTGGTCATACTTCAGAAAACAAAGGTATAACAGTCATGATATTTAGGGGTTTTATTTAATATATTTTCTTGCTAAATTTTAGTTTGAATTTAATGTGCAGTTACTTGTCCTAGACTAAAATGCAAGTTTTAGCCGTTTTAAATAAGAGCCACTTTCACTGACGAATCTTAAAAAATTGTTAGTGCCATTGTTGTCTCAAAATGTCTCAGTCATTTTTTTTTCTCTGGGACATGTTTATAAAAGCTACTTAAATGCCGTACTAAAGCCTAATCCTGGCGCATTCTAAGGCCTGTCTGTGAAAACGAGCCTAAACGTCTAAAAAGGATGTTGGTATTGTGGTTTTATTTCATAGGTCTCAGTTCTGGATGGATCTGCTGAATGACTTGAAAGAGAGACAACTCTTTAATGGCAGTCATGAGCACATATGCTTGGTACGTTATGTGTTTTTAAGTGTGCTACAGATGGACCTTGATGAATGCAAAGAAATCTGGAACACTCACACGATTAGGGCAGTTAAACAGTCTCGCTGTCCTTCTGGTAAACCAGATGCAATTTACGCTCTTCCACACAGGTCAGTATATGACTATAATAAATATTTCACTTATTTGCATTTTTTTAATATAATTTTCAAAATGATATTTAACACAACTACAAACTCACCAATGTTTTTACAAAGCCGTGTGGCTTACTTCCATATAACAAAAAATGTGATATGATACACAATATTAGTTTCACTCACTAATAAATTGAAAAGAGATTCTGGCTAACATTATATTCCACAAAAGAAAGTCATTCAACTTTGGATTGACAAGGTTTTATTTTAATTAAAAATTAACCTTTATCACTGTACTTTTATTTTTCACACAAAACTTTTTCCTCTTTTACTTAAAGGTTTAATGGGAGAGAATGTGGATTTCGTGTCTCAGAGGAAGACTTGAACCAGTTTTTCATTGAACCTACTCTCAGTACATGTGGAGATGAACAGCAAGGCAATGTGATAGGGTATCACAGGCTGAAGGGAAGAAAAGGAAAAGGGAGAAAACAAATGAATAAAAGTAAAACTTAATTAAATTTTTTTTTCAAAAAAAATATTAATTAATAAAAAAAAAATTATTAAAGAAAAATGAATAAGCGTTATCAATTCACAAAACTAATAACAGTTATTGATCTATTGAAAACAAATCAACACAAGTTATCAATTCCTTGAGACGAATTAACAAACCAATCAATTTATCAGAAAGGAGAAAAAGTAATCTATTAATAAGACTTATTGATCTACCCGAGGGAGAAAATCAATAACCTTATTTGGAGGGAAACGAAATTTAAGTGGAAATGCCCATAACACAATGCATGAGATTAAATGAGAATTTAATTCAGGTTTATCTTATTACGTTTTCTCAAAACCAAATCTGAATGAGATTATGAAAATTAACGGATGGGTATCACTCTCAATGCCAATCAGCTTGTTGTAAGTTGACACAGAATGAGCCCAACTGAAAATAGACTGAAATCTCAAACAGAACGCGAGGAGAGGCGAGCGTCGTGATCGCTTCAACTGTGAAAGTTAATAATGACTGGGAAAGGGAAATTCAGGAAAACAAGACCTATTCAACAAATGTCCACGCGATGGCGCTATTTTTCTCACGTCGATGAAAAGGGGTCTGACAGTAATTTGAAACTTTGAGGCGCTAGGCTGCGCTCTAGCGTTGGGGAGTACAATTACAATCAGAACCACTTCACTGTCCCTTCTAGGGCGCGCGCAAAATTTGAATGCATGCAATAGTTAAAATCCAGGCGGATTTTGCGTGCTATGTTTCACGGGTGCGTGAGGCAGAAATGACTTTACTGCACTTACACGTAGCTATATTACAGGAATTTACGTCTGTGGCTTAACTATAAACACATTAATCATTTAGCACTTAAAGGAGAACTCCGGCGAACAATGAACCTTTGGTCTAATAAAACATCGGTACATAGTCAAGAAGTAACTTCTTTCTTTCGAGAAGATCGGAGAAACTTGTTTTTTCGGACCAAAAAAACCGACAGGGGTACCCCTGTCGCTTTTTTTGGCTCAAAATTTTGAGTTTCTCCGATCTTCTCGAAACTCGGGATTCGGATAGAGGGCCATGGGACAAGGACCTGAGTGCAAAAATGGAGGCTCTAGACCCTCCCAGAGCTGAGATATCGAGATCCCACGTAGCATTTGTCCCATTATAAAAATAGTGGGTTCGTGGACGGTGGAATTTGGGGGCGGCGCTTGGTGCCGCGGACTCAGGGGGCCCCCCTGAGTGCAGTAATATAGTTTTTATCATGAAAAAAAACGGTCAAAAAAAAGTCAAAAAAATACCATACCCAAATCCCCATTCAATCGATGGTAGGCGGGATTCTGTCCATTCGCAGCTTATTGCATGAAGATCGGGGTTAGTAGATTTCAAAAATAGTGGGTTATTGGACACATAGTGGGTTTGTGGAATTATGGGATGGTGCTTGGTGCTACAGACTCAGGGGCCCCAGCTGAGTGCAGGAAAGTAGTTTTCATCCAAAAATTTTGAAAGCTAAGCTTAAAAACCACTGTCCAAATACCCACTATTTGTCCAATAACCCACTATTTTTCAAATGTACTTACCCGGACCATCATGCAATAAGCTGCAAACGGACACAATCCCGCCTGCAATTTATTGCATGGGTTTTCGGGTAGTACATTTGAAAAACAGTGGGTTATTGGACACATAGTGGGTTCTTGGACAGTGGAATTATGGGATGGCACTTGGTTCTACAGACTCAGGGGCCCCAGCTGAGTGCAGGAAAGTAGTTTTCATCCAAATATCTTGACAGCTAAGCTTAAAAACCACTGTCCAAATACACACTATTTGTCCAATAACCCACTATTTTTCAAATGTACTTACCCGGACCATCATGCAATAAGCTGCAAATGGACAGAATCCCGCCGGCAATTTATTGAATGGGTTTTCGGGTAGTACATTTGAAAAACAGTGGGTTATTGGACACATAGTGGGTTCTTGGACAGTGGAATTATGGGATGGCACTTGGTTCTACAGACTCAGGGGCCCCAGCTGAGTGCAGGAAAGTAGTTTTCATCCAAATATTTTGAAAGCTAAGCTTAAAAACCACTGTCCAAATACACACTATTTGTCCAATAACCCACTATTTTTCAAATGTACTTACCCGGACCATCATGCAATAAGCTGCAAATGGACAGAATCCCGCCGGCAATCTATTCAATGGGTTTTCGGGTAGTATATTTCTAAAATAGTGGGTTATTGGACAAAAAGTGGGTTCTTGGACAGTTGGTTATTGGACAAATAGTGGGTTCTTGGACAGTGGGATAGGTTGCAGGTGGGATTCTGTCCATTTGCAGCTTATTGCATGGAGGCAGAGGTTAGTACATTTGAAAAATAGTGGGTTATTGGACAAATAGTGGGTTCTTGGACAGTTGGTTATTGGACAAATAGTGGGCTATTGGACAGTGGGATAGATTGCAAGTGGGATTCTGTCCATTTGCAGCTTATTGCATGGAGGCTGAGGTTAGTACATTTGAAAAATAGTGGGTTATTGGACAAATAGTGGGTTATTGGACAGTGGGATAGATTGCAGGTGGGATTCTGTCCATTTGCAGCTTATTGCATGGAGGCTGGGGTTAGTACATTTGAAAATAGTGGGTTATTGGACAAAAAGTGGGTTCTTGGACAGTTGGTTATTGGACAAATAGTGGGTTATTGGACAGTGGGATAGATTGCCGGTGGGATTCTGTCCATTTGCAGCTTATTGGGACATCTGCGCGTGCGCGAGCGATCGGTTGTTTGTGTTTGTAGCTCCGGAGAATTTCTTCACAAATCCTTGATTTTCTTCTTTACCACTTATTTATAAACAAGCACTTTCTATTTTTATATTATGTGAACTTATCCTCGATAGTATTCCTTATAAAAAACAATTGGATTGCTTTGATATCGCTACTTATATCCAACCTCCCTAAATCCTGGCTACTAGCCTTTAGCTATTTGATCGTCTCATTTTACACCCGTTTCACTGAATCCTGGTTATTTCCGACATTTCAATCCTAAATTAGTAGTGATAGTTGTAGTATCACTACTAATTTACTGATCATCCGTTATAATGGCGAACATATCAGATGCGTGTCTAACATTACCTTTGAGTGCAGATGAAGACACATTCGAGCTCTTCACGGTGAAGCAGGAGCTGGAATACGTCGAGAAACAGATCCGTGGTCTGCTGGTGAAGCAAGCCGAGCTGCTGGATCGGCGCTCAACGCTTGAAGCATCACGCGCCGATGCTAACAAATCAAATCACTCTTTGACTCCGAGTTCATCTACGCCGTACGTTACTCTGCCGAGGAAAATGCGATCATCTAAGGCTTCATTCACTCCGGCACCGAAACAACATGGACCATGGATCACACAGCGGAAGACTCGAGCCAGGACCAGAGCTGCCTCTCCGCCCCTCCCTGTCTTCGAGATCTCCACCCGGAACCGCTTCTCCCCTCTTCGAGCCGGAACGCGATGACGCCGTGATCATCGGCACATCCATAGTCCGCCATGTCCGCGCTAATTCGGATAAAGGTAAAGTGCGCACTCACTGCTTTCCTGGTGCTCGTGTTCTTGATGTTGCTGCACAGGTTCCCGAGATCCTGAACGGGGACGAGCGCGTCGGAGCTGTTGTGCTGCACGCGGGAGCGAACGACATCAGGCTGCGGCAGACGGAGGTTCTGAAGAAGGACTACAGGAGCCTGATCGAGACGGTACGCAGCACAGCGCCTAAAGCAGCGATCATCGTGTCTGGACCGCTTCCCACGTACAGACAAGGACAGGAAAGGTTCAGTAGACTTTTTGCATTAAATGAATGGTTAATGTCATTGTGTGATGAACAGGGGCTGCACTTTGTAAATAACTGGCATCTGTTTTGGGAAAGACCGAGACTGTACAGCACAGATGGACTCCATCCCAGCCGAATCGGAGCGGCTGTGCTGTCGGACAACATTTCCAAGACATTACGCACCAGATGACTAATGAGTCAAAGTCCAAATTACAGCCTTTGCGGTCCAAACTTAACTAATAAGCATAGTGTGGAACACTATATAGAAACTGTGTCTATTCCTCGTTTAGTGAAGCCAAACAATAAATCTAGTGTAGGATCTAGCAAAAATCTTATTGTAATTAAACCAGAAAATCTAAATATCAGTCAACAAAAACAATTTCTAAAGCTAGGTCTCCTAAACATTAGATCGCTCACACCTAAGGCGGTTATCGTAAATGAAATGGTCACAGACAATAACTTCAATGTTCTGTGCCTTACTGAAACCTGGCTTAAACCAAATGAGTATTTCGGTCTAAACGAATCTACTCCGCCAGGATACTGTTATAAACATGAGCCTCGTCTGATCGGTCGTGGCGGCGGTGTTGCAACAATCTATAAAGATATTTTTAATATTACTCAGAAAACAGGTCACAGGTTTAATTCATTTGAAGTACTTGTGCTAAATGTTACGCTCTTAGATGTAAGAAGGAAATCTATATTATCTCTAGCCCTGGCTACTGTATATAGACCTCCAGGGCCATATGCTGAATTCCTAAAAGAGTTCGCAGACTTTCTCTCGGATCTATTGGTAAATGTCGATAAAGCAATAATTGCTGGAGATTTTAACATACACGTAGATAATACAAATGATGCTTTAGGGGCTGCGTTTACAGATTTATTAAACTCCTTTGGGGTCAAACAAAACGTCAGTGGTCCCACTCATCGTCTAAATCATACACTAGATTTAATTATATCATATGGAACCGATCCAACTGATATAGATATTATACCGCAAAGCGATGATGTCACTGATCATTACATGGTGACTTGCATAATACGTACTGCTGAAATATGTCATGTTGCGCCACGTTATAGACCAGGCAGAACAATCCTTCCAACCACTATAGATGGATTTTCAAATAGCTTA